GGCCCATGTCTGAGACCACATCTACAGGACCAGGGGCAAAGGTCATGCACCCAGGATGCCCAGCACAGATGTCCTAGGCATGAATGCACCCTGTCATGTCCCTGCTGTGGAGCAGCTCTGGCTGGGAACTGACCTTGAAGGTTTGCACGGCCCAGCTGCAGAAGGCATCCTCCTGCCCACTGAGCTCATCCTCTTCCCCCGTCGGGGTGAGCTGAGAGGCCCCCAGGTGGGAGCTTCTGGTTGAGGTCAGGAGTAAAGGCTCAGAACTGAGGGCACTTGCTGGAGCCGAGGCCAAACACAGCATACCTGCCCAAGGACACACGGAGACTCGTGTCCCATGTAAGCAGCACCTGGCACCCAGCACCCAGCACCAACAGCCTGGAGGGACAGCCACAGACTCTTCCTCTCCAGCTGGAGCATGGAGCTGGACCTCCTTCTGGTCCTCTTGATCCCCCAGCCTTGTCACCAACTCCTATGACCACCTCATGCTTGGCCTGCAGACCTGTGAGAGGGACTGGGTTTCCGTGGCTTGACCTGTGACACACTCTGAGGGCAAACCTCTGAGCCAGGGTCCCTCTGTGCCTGGTCAGCTCTGAGAAGACCCCGTATGCACACCTAGTTCCATCCCCTGAACCCAGACTTTGGGTACACAGGGAAGGGCTAGGATGTGTAGGAGGAGGGAAGAAGCTTTACCTGAATTTATTGGTGAGCAGTTTTAACATGAAGAGGGATTTCTTCAGTTTCTAGATAGAGAGGGAATGACAGTGTTCTCAGACCAGGATGAAAAAACAAAACAACAACCAAAAAAACACTGCTTTTTCCCTTCTTCTGGAAAACTGGCCACAGCAGGCAGGAGATGGCTCCCGGCCCACAGTGGAAGTCGGTTTACATATGGGGCCACCTGGCCAAGAACCTGGTTGTCAGCTGACACGTTTAGCTTGTCTCTCACCCCAGCTAAACCATAGCAACTCATGTGGGCCCTGCCCCTTGGTGGGAGACCCAGAACAGCCTGGCCTCCTCCCATCCAGCCCTGGCAGAGGGGGCTGCCTTATAGCAGGGCATCTCCAGAGGGCCTCCTAATGGGCCGTGATTCTCTTCTGGTTTGGAACCTGGTAGAAGCAACAGCAATTGGTCCTATAGTCTCTGAAATCAGGCTGGCTCTCCAGGAACCCAAGACGATCCCAGGAGGTGTGTGACCCAGCAGAACTAGCGTCAAATCCCATGGTGAGTATTGACTCCCTTTTCATAATTTATTTTTTAGTTTTTCCCCTTCAATTACATTTTCATTCTTCTGAGCACTGGAGAGACAGTCTCGAATTGGTGCTAATAGACTTTTAATACCTCTCTCATTGCCTATCACTCTTTTTAAAAAACAAAGAAAGAGCAGGCCTTGGTTAGGGAATAGCATCTAACTACAGTTCATTAATTTCATGTTGTTTTCATTGAATTTATGTTTTGCTGGCTTTCCATTTGTGAGAGTGATACAAGTTTCCTTTAAACATGAATTCGTAAATACAAACAGGTAGGCCATTCAGAGAAATATGTAAAATATGTCATAGGAAAGATGATACTCCCATATGGCAATAATTACGACAAATGACCTGAGTGACCCAGAGTGACCTGAGCACTGACTCCCAAACGCCGTCCGTAGAACTTCCTGCATCCCCCAGACCCTTTCCTAGATCCTCCTGTGCCTGACCACCCCCTAGACCATCCAGACCTCATGCCACCCACCTCTCTGTTGCCAGAGCAGTCTCCGTTTCCGAACGTGCTGGTCACCACCAACAGCAGCTGCTCCTCCTCCAGGCAGATCAGCCCGTACTCGTCCACGCAGAGAATCTGGACCACACCCAGGTGGACATAAGCCCTCAGCTCCCAGTAGACACTCTGGGCTTCCTCCCACACCTGCCCCGGCCGGGACTCCTGTGCTCATCTGTCTCTCCCAGTGCCCAGCACAGGCGTGGCATGGAGGAAGTGAATGGACCGATTTAAACACATCATTCTCGATTGTCCTTTCCCACTCACACCTGGCAGCTCACCCATCGGCAAGCCCAGGAGGCTCTGCCTCCAAAATACTGCCTATCCCATGTCCAAACGCCTCTCACCACGTCCACTGCTACGTGCAATTCTGTGTGTGTGGAAATATTTCCACAACATTGGAATGAGCAGGTCACAGCGGCGCCTAGAGGCAATGGCTGGGGAAATGTGCCCTCGCCTTGTTACTCTATCCAGACACACCCAGCTAAGGATGGGGGACCTGCCACCACCCTCCTGGCAGTTCCGGACTCCTGGGAGGCAGCAGGGGAGGACCCAAGAGTGTTTTCAGCGACCTGGCTGACCTGGTCATCAGTTAGTCCCACCTTGGCTTAGACCTCTATGCAGCACAGATCACAGCTCATTCCAACCTGGCATTACACTGGCCTGTGCCGTGTCCTCAGGGTCACATCCGTCTCCCAGAAGCCGTGCGACCCCGGAAAACCCATGAACCTGTCTAACCATCAGGTTCCTCCTCTGTGCATTAACAATGGCATAGACGCCTGCTTTGCAGGGCACTGGGAGGGTAGAGGGAGGTGTATGCTGGAGAGTTCCCCGAGGGCAAGGCCTGGCTCTGCATCACTCACTGTCAGGTCCTCAGAGCCCAGCGCTGGCCCAGAATGTGGCCACCATTCCCTAAGAGTTGGATTTGATCCACCAGTGCTGAAGGCAGGGGCTAGAGCTTGGACAGGGCCCCTGTGTCCTGTCTTCTTTATCTGCAGCTTACTCATCCTCACCCCTTTCACATGCGCCCTGCAGAGCAGGTGTTCACTGAGCTTCCACAAAATTCACTAGAGCAGCTGATGTATATTGAGTCCTGGATTCACTGTCAAAGTGTTTCTCAAACTGTGCTCTGTGGAACACCATGGAAAACATTTACTGTATAAGTTTGAAAATCCCAAGAGCTGGGCATGGTGGCTCATGCCTGTAATCCCAGCACTTTGGGAGGCTGAAGTGGGCAGATCATAAGGTCAGGAGATGGAGACCATCCTGGCTAAACTGATGAAACCCCATCTCTACTAAAATACAAAAATTCAAAAATTAGCCAGGCATGGTGGCAAGCGCCTGTAGTCCCAGCTACTCCGGAGGCTGAGGCAGGAGAATTGCTTGAACCCGGGAGGCAGAAGTTGCAGTGAGCCAAGATCCTGCCACTGTACTCTAGCCTGGGCTAGAGCAAAACTTCCGTCTAAAAAATAAAGAAAGAAAAGAAAATCCACGCCCACAGGTCTATCCTTGTGTATGAACAATCAGCTCTACCATTCAGCCCAGGTGTGTGTTTGTTGGACCATCTGGAGGAAGCTGAGGAGACATGAGCTGAAGGCAGAGGGTGAGTCCGAGGTGGGATCTTGGGACAGACGTGAGAAGTTAGGCAAAAATGGGTGAAATCAAATACATTTCACCATATTAATATAATTACAGCCTTAATAACCTTAGATAACAGTTCACATTATTATTTAGTTAATAGGATTCTACCCATGTTAAATTTCTTAATTTTTTTAAGAGATAAAGTCTCACTCGGTCACCCAGGCTGGAGTGCAGTGGTGCAGTCATGGCTCACTGCTTTCTGGAACTCAGGGGCTCCAGCAGTCCTGCCTCAGCCTCCTGATTAGGTGGGACCATAGGCACACGCCACCATGCCTGGCTAATTTCTTTGACTTTTCTCTAGAGCCAGGGTCCACCTATGTTTCCCAGGCTGGTCTCAGACTTCTAGACTCAAGTGAACCTGAACCTCCTGCCTCGACCTCTCAGATTGCTAGGATTACAGGTGTGAGCCACCACACCTGGCCTAAATTTCTTATGTGCCATGGAACTGCAAAACATCATAATTAGGGGCAGCTGGATGGAAGGTGTAGGAGGTCACTATAGTGCCTTTTCAATATTTCTGTATATCTAAAACCATTTCAACAGGAAACATTTATTTTAAAACATGAAGGTGGCTATCCTTCCATGAGTGTGAAGTACAAAGGCAGGCTCATGGTGTCGTCAGAATTCAGAACTCTGGTAGCGGGACTTGGGGTGCTGGGAGGGGCTGGGCATGGCTGGCTTTGTGATCTGGGGGCTGGTGTGTTCCATCTGTGAATGTCTTTTGAGCTGCACACATTCAGAAGAGACAGGGACCCAGCAGCTCTGTTTAAAATAGTGGGAGAACCAAGGGCCCCCCACATCCAGGTCCGTTGGGAGCCGGGGCATCGAGATCCACTCCAGGAATCTCCAGGAACCCTGAGGTCCTCCCTGAGCCAGGGCCGGGCTGGGCACACCCTGAGTGCCCACAGGGTAGGTGTCTTCCTGGACAGCCCCACCAGGACAGGGTGTGGAAGGACCAGGTGCCCGTGGCGGGGAAGCTGACCAAATGCGCCACTGGAACCGGGCTGGTGGGCTGGGAGGGGCCTGCCTGTTCCCCTCGCAGAGGGTCTTCCTGCCATGTGAAGCCAGCACAGGCCTGGGTGCCGAGGACCCTTGCTCAGGTTTGGCTGAAAGGAAAATAGACGTGGTCAGGGTGAGCTTGACCCCCAGGTTGGGGAAGCAGGGCACTGCAGGGCAAGGAGGGTCCCTGAGCTGGGGTTTCCCTGTGCCCCCTTACCTGGTCATTCAACATCTGGAGAAGCCAGCCAAATGAGGAACCCTGTGCGCATAGACCTTCCTTGTTGTGATAGGAGGAACAGAGGTGCTCAGGGACCCGTGGGCAGCCCTAAAAACCTCCCTTCCTCTTCCACAGTCAGCCCTTCTGGAAGGAAGGAAAGAAGGAAGGTTTCCTTCTGCAGAAAGCTGCTTTTTGACTTGTTTCTGAAGCTGGGGAGGGTCACCAGAGCCGAGCTCGCCTGTGGTGCCTATGTTACCGCCCATGCTCAGGATGTGCATCTGTCCACCTCACCCACCCCCCAAAGCGGGGCTTGATGTTCCCTCCAGCTGGAGACCTGGGCCACTGACATGGCCTGGCCTGTTTGTTGTACTCTGGCTGAGCGTACCTGGAATTTTCTGGGGTTTTTCACCTTGATTTCCTGAATGTTCAGGAGGACTGACCACACCTGCATCCAGACGTGCATGGGAATGCCCTTATACACTCGCGACATCAGCTGTGGGCAGAAAACGATCTGGTGTCACAGGCCCTGTGACAACCCCAGCGAGAACCAGAGCCTGAGGATTCTGGAAATCTTTGGTTTTGGCCCCATGATTCCTCAGTAGAGGTGACGTCAAGCTGGGACAGGGTCTCCCTTCCCAGGATTGAAAGAGTGGATGGGCACTCAGAGTCGGAACTCTGACCCGGATTCCTTCAGGTCACCAGGAGGCTTCCCTAACCCTGAGCTCTGGGTGTTCCCAGCCCTAGATACAGATTCCCTCCCAGCAAGGTGATGCTTGCATGAACAGGCAGCAAAGCTGGCGACCAGGCCTGCAGTCCTCTGGGTGAGGACAGTGTGCCACCTGCCCTCTGACAGGTTTACGGTGCCAGGTCACAGCCATGGGTGCCTGTCCCCTGTCTCTGCAGAGAGTGGTTCCCGGGGCCTCTCCCTCCACACATGACCTTTTTACTGTTCTTATATGTCTCCCATTGTCCCAGCATTTTCATCCACTTGCTCTTGCGTCTCATCTCCTGCCTCATTTGCTGTGAAATGAGGAATGTTGGAGTTAGCGGAGCTGCCAGGCTTCCTGGAGTCGCCCGTGGATGCTGGGTCTTGGGTTCTGAAGCCCTGGTGGGACCCAGCTGGAAGGAGCCGGGGAAGGGCAGACCCTAAGGGCTGAGAGACTTTGAGCAAATGAGCGCCAGTGGGCTGGCTTTGGGTCCCCGGGACGTGCCCTCCTGGGGCCACAGACACACCAGTCGTAAGTCAGACCCCAGCCTCTAGGTGGTGACCTGACACAAGTGGGCAGCCACCCCCAAGCCACAAATATGATTCTCACTTTGGAATTTCATCAAACTGCAAGAGATACAGCAACCTGGGGTCAGGTCCAGCAGGGACTGCTGCACCTCCCAGTGACAGCGTGTTGCCCTCACCCGCCGCTGCCCAGGCCCACTGCCTCCTCCGCCTCATCAATGACCCCCCGGGTCCCCCTGTCCCTGGACCAGTCCCCCAAGCATCAGGCTCTTACCTTCCCCTCCCGGGCGCTGACAGGGGGCAGCTTCGTCTCACTGTAAGGCAACCCAGGCAGAGCTGAGGACCTGCACAGAGCCTGGAGCCGTCCAGGTCAGGGAGTCGACCCCCAGAAAGGACAGGCTCTGTCCCATCCAGCTCAGGGCTCAGCCTGGGAGAAGGCACAGGGAAGGGAGGACAAGGGTCTTCCTGTGGGGCTGACTCCCAGGAGGGGCAGGACCTGGGAGAAGAAGGAGTGTGGGGCCAGCCTGGCCGGGGTTACTGGGGCCCCTGGTGTGGGGGGCGGTCAGGCTGCACAATGGGGCTGCCTGTCCTGGACTCAAGATGGTGCTTTCTGCTGGAGCTGAGAAAGGTCAGCCCTGAGATGGGATGGGGGCCACCCAGGGTGGGTGACCGGGCCCTGACAGGAGTCCCTCAGGGAGTGACCATGTGATGTAGACCCACCAGGTTCTAGGGAGCCTACCCTGAGACCTGCCCAGTGCACCCAGGGTGCACCCGGGGCCCATCCCACCTGACATTCCCAAGGCCCTCGCAGGGTATGACCTCCCAGCGTCCACCTGCCTCTCCCTGCACCTGAGCCACACGCCTTACGTTTCAGAAGTGGCACCGCTCATCAGCTTCCTCCCACCCTACCTCCCCGGGATCCTCTGTCTCCCCATCCTATAATCCCTGAGGGATGGGCTTTAGGCTGGGCTCCTCTTTGTTTTTTATTTTTTATTTTATTTTATTTATTTTTATTTTTTTGAAATGGAGTCTCCTTCTGTCACCCAGGCTGGAGTGCAGTAGCGTGATCTCAGTTCACTGTAAGCTACACCTCCAGGGTTCACGCCATTCCCCTGCCTCATCCTCCTGAGTAGCTGAGATTACAGGCATGTGCCACCACACCCGGTTAATTTTTTGTATTTTTAGCAGAGACAGAGTTTCACCATGTTAGCCAGGATGGTCTCGATCTCCTGACCTTGTGATCTGCCTGCCTCGGTCTCCCAAAGTGCTGAGATTACAGGCATGAGCGACCACAGCCAGCCCTAGGCTCTTCTTACCTGGCCCCAGATCCCTTCCCAGCACCAGACCCAGGGTCATTAGCCTCAAGATCTGCTGCCTCCCTGGCCTCTCCATGAGATGCCCAGAACGGGGCTCTGCCCATCTTCTTCCCCATTCCCCTAAGGCCACAGCCCCCACTGTCCCCATGCCTTTCCCCCTTCCCCATGGGGACAGTGAGGGCTGTAGCTCTAGGGAAATGGGGGAGAACAGGGGCAGGTGGGCCCTCAGAGACCAGAGACCTGCTGGACAATAGGCCCGAGGCTGGGCCAGGCGTCCCCTCACCCTGTGGCCACAACCCTTGGATCTCACTGGGGTTGTCTCCAAGTGGACAGGGCCAACCCTCAGGCTGCCCCGCTCCTCTTGTGCTGACTTGGAGACAGAACTGCTGAGAGTCCAGGGGCCTGACCTAGCCCAGTCTCCATTCCCACCCGCTCCCTAGATGGGCCCCGCAACGCTGGCCTAATAGCAACCTTGGGCTGGACCTGCAGGGGAGCCAGGGAGGAGTTCTGACCCTGGAAAGGAGGTTGGCCTGACCCGGTGAGGCAGTCCTGCCTCAGAAAGGCCTTTCTAAAAGCAAACCCATCCCTCAGCTGAGACAGGTGCTTCAGGGGTGAGGGGAGCACAGAGGACTCACTGCACAATCCCAAAGCGATCAATGTTGTTGTAGATTCCAACAGGCTCAGACCCCATGTCCTCTGGCAGCCCAGCTCGGTGTCCCTGTAACCCAGAGGGAGGCTTGGTGAGGGGTCCAAGGTAAAGGGTGCAAGGGCCTGTGGGTAGTGGCCACTCGTGCCCACCCTGTGCTCCTAATGAGCCCAGGACCCTTTGACCAGGGTGCACTGGAAGAGGCCTCCCTCCAAGGAGCAGACCGACCTGTACCTTCTCATACTTCATAATGATGTCCTCTCGCTCCTCCGAAGTATCTGCGTCCTCTACCATGTCTATCCTGTGAGACAAAAACGTCTAAAGGTTACACCGTACCTGAGAACTTCGGTGAACACCCGGCTCCCAGATGCTGCCTGGCTGCGTAACCCCCCATTCCACCACTGCCCTCAGGTAAAAAGGCGCCAGACCCAGTGGCCCACACCTCCATGGGTCTCTGGAGTCTGAAGCTCCAAGCAGGGGAGGGCATCTTCCCAAGGACTTGAGGACAGTGCGACCTGGACAGAGAGTCCTGTTGTCCCCAAATGCCATGAAATGGGCACACACCTGCCCTGGCAGTTTCAATGGTGTCCACCTGCAAGGGTGAAGGGTCCGTGATGGGCTATTCCAGGGATGTGGAGGGAGACTGGGGAGAGGGACCAGAGGTCTCTGTACAATTGGCCTCCTGGGATGCTCAGGACCACAGAGATGCTCAGTTTCCTACAGGGAAAAAGATCTCTCCTGACTGCTCGGTTCTGCTCCACTCATCACTTGGGCTACCGTGACCCTTCAGTCTGAACAGTGAAGCCACTTTAGGAACAACAGGTTTAGGGGATGAAAATAAGCTACTGTCTCCAAAGCTGTCTCTGTGCTTGTGGAAACCACGTCTCTCGGGGAGGGTCTGTGGACTCCACCATTCTGAGGTGTCCATACAGGACGGGGCCTCATTGTCCTGGGTCACTGAGGAAGGACAGTGGGTCCTTGGTCCTGGGGAACACCTAGATGCATCGTCCCTCCTGGGAACACTTGGGGCAGAAGGAGGGCAAGGCCTGGATAGGACCAGACAGAGAAAGAAATACTTGGGGACAACCCCAGTTCCTGGACCCCTTTGAACAGGATGGAAGATAGTCTCCCTCCTGCCAGCTCTCCAGGGCTCCTTCATTTTCCACAGCTGCTCAAAGGCAGAAGGCTCTCCATGCCACTCCCGGACAAGCGACCATGTGTGTCCAGTGGGTCTCACAGGGACCATCAGGACCCAGCTTAGGCCCCAAACATGTTCTGAGGACCCTCCCCTCCTTCCCACCCACAGTGGACCCATCCCAGTGGCTCTGCCAAGGCCAGGCTCTGCCTCCTCGGGATCGGAAACCCTGGACAGATTTGGGATCTAGGACAGGGAGACCACAGGATTCAGGCCTTAAGTCCAGCCCTGCACAGGGCAGAGCTGAGAGCAAAACCCAGGGTCATGTCAGGATTCCCGGGTTGATTACCGCCTCTGACACCAGACGTCTCAGTTGTCAAATAGGAACAGCACCTACCCTATGGAGGCACCGTGAGGACGAAAGAGACAATCGTCTACACAGGCAGTGCAGAATGTGTGCCCGGTGAGTGCTCGGGATGACCCTCCTCAGCAGGTGCCCAGAGGCCAACACAGCCCACCCCATAGCCATTGTCCCCAAGTCAGCATGGAGGGAAGAGAGCAGGTCATACTCACCTGATTCTGATGAATCAGCTGGCCTGTGTTACGCCTCTCAGGGAGAAAACCTGTGAGTTCACAGAGCTGCTCCAGTGTGTGTGTGTAGCTGCTGTAGAACACAGAGGCAGGCTGGAGAGCGGATGGGTGCTAAGCACCAGTGACATTCTGAGGTCGTGGCACGCATCACAGTGGGGCCTTGCCTGGGTCAGCAGGGCCCAGAGTCAACATCCTCCACTGCCTGAGGCCATCAACATGCCTGCCTACAGTGTGTATGTGCACACATGTATGTGGGTAAACACATCTGTGCATGCGTGTATTGCTTCTCTTGCCATGCTTGGCTGCCCCACTCATGTGCACCCAATTCCTCATCACTGTCGCCCCCAGGGCCCAGGGCCAGAATCAGATCATCCATGGGTGCTCCCTGACCTCAGCCCTCCCCGCCCAGGGTGGTCCTGAGACACACATGGGGTGGAGGGAAGTGACTGCTGCTGTTGAATCTCAGAATAAAAGTGCTAATACTATTACCTAATGCTTTTTTTAGTATCTCTAATGGTCTTTTCAAAATATTATCTCTAGTGATATCTCTTTTTTTATTTCTGGTATTTTAACTGGGTACTTCTCTCCATGACCCTTGGTTATTCCAGCTAGAGGATCCTGCGGGGAAAGTGCCCGGCACACAGTAGGGCCTCACTCTTCTAGACATGTTTTCTAAAGTCTGGCTCATCTGTCCTTCTACCCAGGGCCTAGGGGCTGCCAAATTCCAGGGAACAGAAAGAGCTTGGGATAAAAAGAACAGTTAAGGGGAGGGCTTTGACCTGGGCTGAGTCTGCCTGTGCCATCCAATCCTAGAGCCTCAAGTCCTGAGACAGAGCATCCAGATGCCCCAGTGCAGGGCCCTCCTGATCGACACCTGTTTCCCTGTACTCATTAGCAACCTCACCCACCCTACTCTCAAAGCACACTTGGCCCTCATATCCGGAAGCTCTGCATCTGTGGATTTAGCCAACAGCAGATGGAAAATATTCAGAAATGAAATTGGATGCTTATGATTCCACTGAACATGTGCAGACTTTGTTCTTGTCATCATTCCCTAAACAATACAGTATCACAACAATGTATGTAGCATCTGCATTGTATTACATATCATCAATAATCTAGAAATGGTCTAATGTATACGGGAGGATGTGCATAGGTTATATGTAATTACTCAGCCATGTCATATCAGAGACTTGAGCATCCATGGATTTTGGCATCCCAGGCGACCCTAGAACTAATCATCCATGGATACCAAGGGGTGACTGTATAAACTCACTCAGGAAGGCTTCTCATTGGAGGAAGGGCCCAGTTCAGGACAGACAGGGGCATCCTCCCTGGACTACTGTCCATTCATCCACCCATTCACCCATTGGCCCCCCACTCTAGGACTGTCCCAGTGACAGCCCTAGCAAGTGGAGACAAGAAGAAATACCAGCTCATGTTGTTCAGCTTTGAGGTCTTGGAAGAAGTTGCACCAGTGTGAGAATAGGGGGTCAGTATGAGAATAGGGGGTCAGTTTCCTACAGGATCCAGAGAGCATATCAGGCAGCCTCGGGGTGAGGAAAGGAGCCCGGCCTCTCCAGCAGCCGCACAGGCCTGCAGTAGGATGGGGCTGGGGTTGACCATGTGGATCACTTGGGCCTCATGAGGGGAAAAGAAAGACCAGGGGCAGAGGAGAAGCATGGGGGCAGTTGGTGGCCTAAGGAGAAGATGCTTCAGGGAAGGGGTCTGTATTAGTTTGTTTTCACACTGCAATAAAGAAATAGTTGAGACTGGGTAATTTATAAAGGAAAGAGGTTTAACTGACTCGCAGTTCAGGGAACTTACAATCGTGGCAGAAGGCAAAGGGGAAGCAGCACCTTCTTCACAAGGCGGCAGGAGGGAGTGAGTGGAGAACCCCTTCTCTAAGAGAATAAAACCTTTGACCACTGCTCTTCCTTAGTGGATTTTGTTTGTCTTCTGATGAACTGTGATGTCTCGTCTATCATTTTCCTAGGCTCAAGGATCCACCAAAAGCTGACGCTTCTTTTGGGGAGGCTCTGCAGTGTCTTCTTCTCAACTGGCTCCCCGGGAAGCTTGTAAACTTGGTTTGCACCTTAAGCAGCCAGGTACACGCCAGGGCTCTGCTTCTCTCTTTCACTAAGAGGGAGAGCCAAGAAAGAGACTGAAGCATGCTCTGTAGAGAAGACACTGGTGCAAATGCCAGGAGAATGAGGGGCCTGAGTTGTCTTCATTCCCCTTAAAAACACGCATTCCCTCCCATGCCACCTTAGTGAGGACATGAAGCACAGTGCAGATTCCCTCCCATGCCAATCTTTAGTGAGACATGAAGCACAAAGAGTGTGTCTGTGAGTGTATGTGCAGGTATATACACGTGTATATGTTTATGTGCATGTGTGCATGTGTGTGTGTGCATGTGTGCATGTGTGTGTGTGCATGTGCATGTGTGTATGCATGTGTACATGTCTGTATGCATATGTGCATGTGTGTGTGGTGCAGGGATATAAGGTGGACCAGATGTGGGAGCGCAGCTCCAGCTCCAAGCTGAACAGTCTGTTAGAATGGTTTAGATTCCCTGGACCACAGCAAGATAGTGTTTTCATGTGAATTCATTTTTCTTAGCATTGAAGCCCATATTTTTAGCAGCATGTAAACCTTAAGTTGCTTAACTATTCTTACAAGCATTTACACCAGTAGTCCCCAACCTTTCTGGTCCCAGAGACCAGTTTCATGGAAGACAACTTTTCCACGAACCAGGGAGAAGGGGAAGGGATGATGCAGAGATGATTCAAGCCCATTACATTTATTGTGTGCTTTATTTCTATTATTATTTCACTGTAACATATAACGAAACAATTACACAACTCACCATAATATAGAATCAGTGGAAGCTCTGAGCTTGTTTTCCTGTAACTACATGGTCCCATCTGGGGGTGATGGGACACAGTCACAGATCATCAGGCATTAGGATCTCATAAGGAGCACGCAGTGTAGATCCCTGGCATGCGCAGTTCACAGTAGGGTTCACACTCCTATGAGAATCTAACGGCACCGCTCATCTCACATGAGGCAGAGCTCATGCCGTAATGGAGCTCAATGTGAGGGATGGGGAGCAGCTGTTTCTACAGATGAAGCTTTGCTCACTGGCTGGCTGCTCACCTCCTGCTGTGCAGCCTGGTTCCAAACAGGAGGGAACCCCTGTTTTATCCAGTAAGATAAATCCATTATATAAGTTGATAATATTCGCCCTGCACCACCCAAATTATCTTGCATACCTACACCCCATACCTACACCCACCCAAGGGTCCCGTAGTGCACTTTGGGAGCTGTAGACAGCCTGGAGCTCCATTGCACACTCCACCTCTTCACCATCTGTGGGCTAACAGGCTGCGTTAGTTTCCTAGGGCTGTTTTACAGGACCACAGACTGGGCACCCTCAACAACAGAATCTTACTGTCTCGCAGTCCTGGAGGCCATGAGTCCAAGGTCAAGGTGTCAGCAGGGTGGGCTTCTTCTGAGGCTGTGCAGGAAGGCTCTGTTCCAGGACCATCTCCTAGCATGTTGGTGGCCATCTTCTCCTTATGACTCTTCATTAAGGGTGATTACGTTGAGGGCTCAGAAGAGAAAGTCTGGACAGAATGTTGGAGCATATGGAGGGGGTCGGGCATGGTGACTCACACCTGAAATCTTAGCACTTTGGGAGGCCGAGGCGGGAGGACTGCTTGAGGCCAAGAGTTCAAGACCAACCTGGCCAAGATAGCAAGACAAAGTCTCAAAAAAAAAAAAAAAAAAAAAAAAAAGAATATGGAAAGGAAAGGTCATTCTGATGAAGTCTCAAACTCAGATGGAAATAAAGAAGAGGTAAATGGAAACTGGAGGAAAGGTGAGTGACGCTTGCCATAAAGTGGCAAAGCACTAGTGTTTAGTGGAAGGCAGAACTTGTGAGTGATGAAACTGAAATTTGGCAGAAGAAATATCTAAGCAAATAAAGTATTGAAGGAGTGGCATGATTCTTTTGAAGGTTTATAGGAAAATGAAAGAAAAGAGGAATGATTTAGAGACAGAACTTATAATCAAAAGGGAAGCAGAACTTAAAGATCCGGGAAATTTTTAGCCTTCTCAGTCTGTCCATATTGAACAGATAAAGTGTGTTTGGGAGAGAACACGTGGATGTGGGTCAGGAGGCCTGCGTGGATCAGGGCTGGGCTCCTCACAAGGACAATGGAAGAGCGACCCTGAAGGTATTTTGTAGATCACTCAGGCTGCACTCTCATCACAGGTCCATGGTGCCAGGGCACTGACGGGAGTACGGTTTCCAAGGTGGGCCCTGGGGACCTTGGGGCTTGCTGCCCAGCACTCCCTGAAGGCACTGGTTCCCATATTGTGCTGTGGTGCTTTCCTTGGCTGCTCCAACTGTTGCTCAATGGGCCCTGGTGGAGTGGGGAACATGATGTCACCCCTCCAGAGGGTACAGACAGAAAACTCTTCAGCAGCATCCACATGGTGCTCATTCTGCAGGTGCACAGAGTGCAATAGCTGTGGGACATGGCTGCCTCCACCTACATTTCAAAGTATGTCCCAGAAAGCCTTGGGGTCAGGCAGAGAACTGCCACAGGGGAGGGACACCACAGAATGTCCCCACTAGGGCAATGCCCAGCAGAGCTGTGGGGAGGAGGCTAGCCCCAAGATTCCAGGATGGTAGAGCCAGCAGTGTGCAAGGCCACCCTGGGAGAGCCTCAGGCATCAAACTCCAACATGTAAGAGCTGCTGCCTGGGCTGCACCCAGCAAAGCCATGGGGGAAGGGCCACCTGAAGCCCTGGGCCGCCCAACCACATCCTAGTATATCTGGAACATGGGCCATGGAGTCAAGGAAGGTTCTCAAGTTTTAAGATTAAATGTTCTTTTCCCTGTTGGGTTTTGGACTCACTTGGAACAACCACCACCAAAACCACCAAAAGCTGAAAGCAAAAAACACAAAATAAACACCTTAACCCTATCCCTCCATTTAATGCAATTCAGGACTCCCACCAAGAAGAATTTCTCCATTTCTCAGTAAAGCTTAAGGGCTGGTATTCCAACCCGCCTATAAGCGATGCTATTTCTTTTCCTTAGGTAATTATTTTCCCAGAACTCTTTGAAAAACAATTAAAATATTTTTGACCAAAAAATTAAACACATAAAGGAGACCATCTAGGCCTTTGCAGCATGTACCTCCGAACTCTTCCAGCCTCTACTCATTATCCACTTCCACATTTTTGCATATTTTTTAGAGTAGCATTCTACTTTCTGGTATCAAAAATCTATGCGAGTTTGCTAGGGCTACCGTAACAATATACCACAGATGGAGGTCTCAAATAACAGAAATATTCTTTCTCACAGTTCCGGATCCCAGAAGTCCAAGACGAAAGTATCAGCAGAATTGGTTTCTTCTAAGGCCTGGCTCCTTGGCTTGTAAGTGGCCACCCTCTTGTCTGTGCCTCCATGTGGTCTTCGGTCGGCGTCTGGGTCCTCATCTCCTCTCTTTATAAGGACACCAGACAGATTGGATGAGGGCTCATCCATATGACCTCATTTCCCCTTAATTACACCTTTAAAGGCCCCATCTCAAAACACAATCCCATTCTGAGGCACTTGGGGTTAGGACTTCAACATATCAGTTTGGGGGTGGGGGACACAATTCAGCCCATAACACCCAACTTCTGTGCCTCCAAAACTGCTGAGGCAGAAGAAACGATGGGGTGGTTCGCCACGGTCCCTTCAAAGCTTCTGCCCAGAAATGGCACCTGTGACTTCTGCTCCACTTCACTGCTAACAGCGGGTAACAAGGTTCACTTCAAAGGGATAGGGAGGTGCTCTCCTACCATGGATTTAAATATAAGACCTCAAACTATAAAAATCCTAGAAGAAAACCTAGGAAATATCCTTCTCTACATCAGCCTTGCCAAAGAATTTTTGGCTAAGTCTCCAAAAGCAACTGCAACAAAAATAAAAAGTGACAAGTGGGACCTAAGTAAATTATGTTGTAAATCAATAAATGTGATTGACTTATTGAATCAGTAAATGTGTATTTATTGATTATAAATTTTATACACTTTATATCTATAATAAAGAGTTTCTGCATAGCAAAAGAAACCATCAACAGAGTAAACAGACAGCCTACACCACAGGAGAAAATATTCACAAGCTAGGCACCCAACAAAGGTCTAATATCCAAATCTATAAAAAACTTAAACAAATCCACAGGCAAAAAAAACGCCAAATAACCCCACTACAAAATGGGCAAAAGACATGAAAAGACACTTCTCTAAAGAAGACATACAAGTGGACAACAAGCATATGAAAAAATGCTCATCATCACTAATCATTAGACAAATGCAAATCAAAACCACATGAGATACCATCTCACACTAGACAGAATGGCTGCTATTAAAAAGCCAAAAAACAACAGGCACTGGTGAAACCATGGAGCAAAGGCAATGCTTACACACTGCTGGTGGGAATGTAAATTAGTTCAGCCACTGTGGAAAGCAGTTTGGAGCTTTCTCAAAGAACAGAGCTAACATTTCACTCAGAAGTACTATTACTGGGTATATAACCAAAGGAATATAGATCATTATACCAAAAAGATGCATGCACTCATACATTCATCATCACACTATTCTCTATAGGGAAGACATGGAACCAACCTAGGTGTCCATCAATGATTGAGTAGATGAGAAAAATGTAGTACATATACGCTATGGAATACTACATCACCACAGAAAATAATGAAGTCATGTTCTTCTCAGCAACATGGATGCAGCGGGAGGCCATAATCCTACATGAATTAAGACAAGAACGTAATACTAAATACCACATGTTCTCAAGTGGGAGAGTGGGAGCTAAACACTGAGCCCATGTGGTCAAAAACATGGGAAAACTGGACACTGCAGACTACTGGAAGGGGGAGGCTACGGGATGAAAAACTATCTACTGGGTACGAGGCTCACTACCTAGATCCAATATACTCATGTAACAATCCTACACCTGTACCCCCCTCTATCTAAAATAAAAGCCGAAATTTAAAACAATATTGCTAAAAATGCTAAAAAATTTTTCAGCGAGTTGTAATCTTTTTGTTGGTAGAGGGTCTTGCCTCAATGTTTATGGCTGTTGACAGGTCAGAATGATGACTGCTGAAGGTGGGTGTGTGCTGTGGCAATTTCTTAAAATAAAACAACAAGGAAGTCTGCTGTATCCACTGACTCTTCCTTTGATGAAAGATTTCCCTGTAGCATGTGACGCTATTTGATAGCATTTTTCCTACAGTAGAACACCTTTCAAAATTGGAGTCAATCCTCCCAAACTCTGCCACTGCTTTATCAACTAAGTTCATGTCATATTCTAAGTCTATGGTTATCATTTGGACAGTGTTCACAGCATCTTCACCACAACTAGTTTCTATCTCAAGAAACCACTTTCTTTGCTCATCTGTAAGAGGCAACTCCTCATCAGTTCCAGTTTTCTCATGAGACTGCAGCAATACAGTCACATCTTCAGGCTCCACATCTAATTCTAGTTCTCTTGCTATTTCCATCACATTTGCAGTTACTTCTTCCACTGATGTCTTGAATCCTTCGTCATCCATGAGAATTAGAATCAACTTCTTCCAAACTACTGTTAATGCTGACATTTTGACCTCTTCCTATGAATCCTGAACGTCATGAATGCCACCTAGAATATTGCTTCTTTCCAGAAGATTTCAATTTACTTTGCTCAGGTCCATCAGAGAAACCACTATCTATGGCAATATCAGCCTCCTTGTGTACCTTTATCAGAGTTCTTCAGTAACCAGGTGGATTATCAATGAGCACGAATATTTTGAAAGGTATAACTACATCCCAAGCAGTGGGTCCCAACAGTGAGCTTAAACTATTCTGCAAACCATGCTGTTAACAGAAATGCTGTCATCCAGGCTTTGTTGTTGCAAACAGCACATACAGAGTAGATTCAGCTTCATTCCTAAGGGCCCTGGTAGTTTTGGAATGGTAAGTGAACACTGGATTCCAATTCTAGTCACCAGCTGCGTGCACTCCTGAAACGAAGGTCAGCTTGTCCTTTGAAGTTCTGAAGCCAGGCCTTGACTTCTCCTATCCAGCTGTGGGAATCCTAGACGGCAGCTTCTCCCAGTAGAAGGCTGTTTGGTTTACATAAAAATCTCTTGCTTAGTGTAGTGCAACCTTCATCAGTGATCCTAGCTAGATCTTCTGGATAAGTTGCTGCAGCTTCTGCATCAGCACTTGCTGCTTCTCCTTGCACTTTTATGTTATGGAGACAGCTTCTTTCCTTAAACCCCATGAACCAAAATCTGCTAGCTTTAGACTTTTCTTCTGAAGCTTCCTCACCTCTCTCCGTCTTCATAGAATGGAATAGAGGTAGGGTCTTTCTCTGGATTAGGCTTTGGCTTAAGGAAATGTTGTAGATTGGTTAATCTTCTATCTAGACCACTCAAACGTCCTCCAATATTAGCAATAAGGTGGTTTCACTTTCTTGTCATTTATGGGTTCACTAGGGTGGCATTTGTAATTTCCTTTAAGAGCTTTCCCTTTACATTCACAACTTAGTGACCTGGTACAAGGGGCCCAACTTTTGGCCTATCTCGGCTATAGACATGCCTTCCTCACTATCCTTAGTCATTTCTAGTTTTTGATTTAAAGTGAGGTATGTGCAACTCTTTCTTTCATTTGAACACTGAGTGGCCATTGCAGGTTGTTAAGTGACCAGATTTCAATATTGTTGTGTCTCAGGGAAGAGGGAGGGCCAAGGAAAATGGGAGAGATGGGGGAATGGCTGGTCAGAGGGGCAATCAGACACACAACATTTACCAATGAAGTCTGCTATCTTACATGGGCACAGTTCATGGAGCTCCAAAGCAGAGACAACTATAACATCAAAGGTCATCAATCACAGATCACCATAACAGATAGAACAACAATGAAAATGCCTGAAATATCGTGAGAAGATCCAAAATGTGACTCAGAGGCACGCAGCACATGCTGTTGGAAAAATGGCGTCGATGAACTTGCTCGAGGCAGGGTTGCTACACTATCAATTTGCAAATTGTGTTTTTAGTATTTGGAAAGCACAAGAGATCACAGCACAATATAACAAGGCATGCCAGGAATTGTTAAACTGCATTGTTAGGGACCAATGACAAGAAAAAATGGTCTTACATGTTCAGTACAAATGCAACCATTATTTTAAAAAATATTCTCCATCCACGATAGGTTGAATCCAGGGATGTGGACCCCCAACTGTACATGATTTCAGCAAATGCATTTGAGTCTCTAGTGACAGAATTCTGTATTTTGTTCTTTCCTATTATTTTAATGACTCATTTTAGCAGAGTTCCTAATATTGCCTCTCTGCAAGTCTATAACCCTTCATAGGCCAATCTTACCCAGGAACCCAGATACAATACAGGCAAACAAATAAACAAACAAACAAAAAACAAATGGAATCACAATGCAGAAAAGGACCCACTTGATATAGCTCAAAAATGCAAACTTGGCTGAAGTAGACATTTTTGTAATGCAAAAATGTTGTATTAAAATGTCTATACATACAATGTGATTCCAATCAAAATCATGTATTATTTCTGAAACTTAACACAATAACTGTAATATTTATATGTTGAAGAAAAGCCAAAGCACCTGAAAAGAACAAATTGGATGAGTACGTCTTATCAAATAGTAGGCTGTGTTAGGTATAAAGCCATAGTACTTATGTCATTATGATGCAGGGAAGGAAAAATTAATGAATGGAATAGAATGGACAGTTCCAATAGTAACATTTGTATACAGGAATTTGATTAACGTCAACATTGTAGATTAGTGGGAAAGAATTTTTCCACAAACTGTGCTGGCATAACTGACTATCCAGATGGAAAGAAATGAAATTGCACCTCTACAACATGCTACATAATGACTCCTAAACATTCTATGATGAATGGAGAAGGTAAATTTCCAGGGCCAAGGGAAAGCTACAGGAGTACATGGGTAATTTCTCTAAGGAATGTGACTGCAATGTACAGATCATTCTCACAGGGTCCCTGAAGGTAAGGACAGTGCCTCAGGTAGAAAACTCAGCGGCGGAAAGAAAAACACAGCAACTGAGATCCAAAAAAAAGACAAGACTCAGGAGGAAAATGTTCATAGTAATGATGGCCTAAGGTCTTTGAGGACCAGCATAATTGAGCTCAGAGAGTGATACTGTTCTCTACGCAGCCAGGCTTCAGATAGTCATAGGGAAGGTCTAGCTTCTAATTTTGGGCCACAATTTCCCTTTCCAGATTGTCCAGATCTGTTTAAAATTGTCTCAGCACAGCTTTGGGCTCAGGGCCTAAGACATATTCTTCTTTCTGATGCTCAAGGGGGTACCTGGGGCAGAAAGAGGATGAATGAGCTCCTAGTTCCAAGACACAGGGACCCAGAATCCAGCCCTGCACCCTGACATCTCCTCTGTAGTCTCAAAGGTCCCCT